GCCATACCAGTTGTTCAATAGCTTGAGTAAATGCCCCACACCCCTCACTTCAGCTCATCCATCACCCATTTCCATAGAGGCTCTCTGCTCCCCTCTTCTTGCTCTACTCCAGTCTGACTTCCATCTGCTATGGTCCATTTGAATTACATTTGTCAAAGATTATTCTGGATGTGTCAGTGAGGGTATTACTAAATGAGATTACCATTCGAATTAGTAGACTGACTAAAGCAGATTGTCCTTCCTACTGTGGGTGTGTCTCATCCAATCAGTGGAAGATCTGAATAGAGGTAAAAGGCTGAACTTCCCTCAAATTAGGGAAGAAGTCCTCCCACTTACCTGCCTTCAAGCTGGGACATTAGTCTGTTCCTGCCTCCAGACTCAAACTGAAATATCTGCTTTCATTGTGTCTCGAGCTTGCCAGCCTTCTGACTGAAACTTCACCATTGGCTCTCCTGAGCCTCCAGTTTGCCAACTGCAGATCTTGGAACTTGTCAGCCCCCATAATCATGTGAGCCAATTCCTTATAACAAATCTCTTACTATATATACATACATTCTATTGGTTCTGTTTCTCCTAAGAACCCTGGCTAATGCAGTCCTATTGTACATGCTCTGTAAAGAAGAATTAAAACATTGCAGAACTAATAATCTCCCCATCTGGAATTCATTACACTCTCATTTTCTAAAAATTCAACAAAGTCAACTGATCCATGAGCGGCTTGCTATGGGGTTCAGTGGTCACTCCCTTGGAATGCTGCTTTGTCTGATGCCTCAGGTCTGTAGACCTCCTGGCACATTCAGCACATAATCAGAGCTCATGGGCCAACTTGCCCTTGACCCTCTGTAATGACACTTGACTTCTCTTAAATCCTAGATGCCTCTATGCTCTTTAAATAAATGATGATGATAATTAATATCAGCCTAAAAAGTGAGGGTTAAAAATGAACCATTGATATTAAATATTTAGCAAATGTTATGTACGAAATGTAACTTTATTATTATAGGAGTCCTGCCTTAAAATAAACACAATATGCCATTTCCTATGGTTAGAAAAATACTATTCTGTTTAGAAAATCACCCCATGTATACATGTAGTAAAAACAAATTAAAAAAAAT